CAGTCGTCTCACAGAGGAGAAACTGGGGCTCAGAGAAGTTCTGTCACTTTACTCAAGCTGGGCAGCAGCTAAGTGTGAATTTGAACCCAGGGGAGCTGACACCATAGGTGCCACGGTTACCCGACCTGTTACCCCTTCTCTACAAACCACTAGAGGGGCCCCTTCTCTACAAAACTAGAGGGTCCCCTCTAGTTCTGATGTGCTTTTTTTTTAGATTCTTAAGTAGCTGAAATTGCCATCAAACCATTTATCAGTTCAGAACCCAGAGCTAGTTGGTTCTCTCAAGGCTTCCTATTGAGAAATACCCCCACTGGGCAGTGGATGGCTGCAAGGCTTGAAAACTCAAGCGTAGGGTCACATATTCTTAGCAACCCCAGGAGCAGCCTTGGGGCAGCAGAACTGCATCACAGGTGCCAGTCATTGCTTCTGTTCCAAACTTGTCCTGCAGGCAGTGAAAGAAAGGGGCTTTGCCCGGCCCTTAAGTCCCTCCTTCCTTGCTTTGCCCCCTCCCCACCCCTTCAGATTTCATCTCCACAGGAAGCCTCCTTAAAAAATACTGCCACCAATTTATCTCTGTTTTGCATGTGGGGAAACTGAGGCTTAAAGAAGGGAAAGGGCAGTCACAATGTGACACAGGCGTTCCTTCTGCTATAATAGCAGTGCCAACATTGTCTCCTGAAAGCAGCAGGACTCTCTGCCACGCCACCCCATTTGTCTTCCTGAGGTCAACTAGCTACTTTGCTGGAGGGATGGAGGTGAGGATTCGCGGGACCCTGTAGCTTGGCTTCCCTGCCTAAATTCTTTCAGGAGACCCCTACCTGTTAGGGTGTGAGAGTCCCCACCCCCCAAACATATCCCTCAACTCTTCCACATACTGGGGTAACTGCAGGAAGGAGGCAGGGAGGAGGCCTGATGGTCAGTGAGGACACTGTAGCTAAAATCTTACCTTCTCCAAGAAGCTGGGGATTACCCACCTCCCCCCACCCCCAGAGGTACATCCAGGAGCAAAGCTGACTTAGGGCCAACACTGGATTCTAACCACCCCTGCCCATGACCTAGGGCACGGCCGGGGGTGGCTGGCGTTGGCGTGCCCACCCACCCCACCGTGCTCTGAAGGCTTTCTGACGGTCTCCACTCCCACCCCTTTAAGCTCTCATCTGCACTCAGCCTCTAACTGCACCTTTGCTACCTCGGTTTGTCCATCTTCACAGTGATGGGTGGTCAGACCCGCCCACCCAGGGGTTTTGCCAAAGCAAACTTCCAGGCTAGAAGAGTACTCACGTTATGCCCTTGGTCTTGTCGTAGCCCAGTGACTCAGAAGATACTGGAGCCCCTTGTCCATCTGAGAAACTGGAATCCTTGTTCTGCAGCGTCTTGGTGCTTTCAGGAGGGGACCTGAGGTCCAGTTTGAGGTCAACAGCTCCCTGGAGACCCTTGGCACTGTTTGTCACAGGCATGACTGCTTCAGAAAGAGAAGGCTCCAGGTGATGAGGAGGTCTGCGCTTGCAGGAGGCAAGCAGGAAGGTGTCTGCTCAGGTGCAAACCCAGCACAGTGGCTTGTGCCTGAGCAGGTTCTGGCCAAGCTGGACTGAGGCCCCGCCCACCTTCCTGGGGCCAACTCCTCCCTCCTGAAGAAGCCCAGTGGCAGAGGAAGGCTCTGGAAGAGGAAGGGAGGTGTCTGGGGAGTCGCCCACCTACCCCTAACAACAGTAATGGCAACAGCGACTATAACATTGATCATTTTAATAACTAATATTTATTAAGCACTTGACTAAGGGATAGGAACTCTTCCAAGTACTTTACCTATATTTTCTCATTTAACTCTATAAATTACATAATGAGGAAATCAGGCTCTGAACTGAAGGAACGTACCTGAGGTCACACAACTAGAAAGTGACAAAGTAGGGCCCACAGTCCAGCTCTTAAGGCTTTTTAACCAATACCCCATTTCTCCCTTCAGGAGAATACCTACACCCCACCTCATTATTCATCCGGGGCAGAGGCTCCACTTACCACTGACCGCACTAAGACGTCCTTCTGAAGTTCCCTTTTCTTGGAAAAATGTTGGGGAAAAAAGGAGCACTCGCCTATAACTGCTTCTTAGCCTTTGTTAGGCTCCAGAGAGACAGTAATGGGATTTTTTTGGTAAAGGTGGGAGAGGCGATGATAGCACAGCCCAGAGCCACATCTCACTGGCAGGGCTCTGGCGCCAGGAGGGGGTGGGAGGTGTCTAAGGTCACACAAGACTTTCAGGATGGAACTCTGCAGCTAAAGAAGGCTTTGGGGGTATCTCCAGTTCCCATTCTCTGTCATTATCCTTGCTTCAGTGACAGCTGAGCTGGCCAAAATTTCCTCTTCCCTCAAAATTACAGCATTCCCCTCAAGGCATAATCCTCCCGACACCATCATCTCCTGTGCCAAGAGCTTTATAGGATCTCACAGCTAACTGCTAGCATTCGAGACAGATTTGTCCAGCCCTCCCTTACATTAGACCCTTTCCAAGGTCCTGTATGCAGTTTTGAATTTGTAGTTTTGTATTCTTAAAGAGGCCCTTTCCACCCCTTATCTATACCTGCCAGCTCCCCACCTGCCCTGGCGGAATAAACTTCAGGCTCTGTAGAGCCTGGCTACTTCTCTGGGTAGCCTTGTTATTTTGTTTTTACAGATGTGGAAACTGAGTCTCAGGGAGGTCACAGCTAATTCCCAGCAGAGCTGAACTCTCCCTGGTCAGATCCTTCTATCTCTGAAGCCTGTGGTTTTCACCACTTCACTGATCCCTTGGTTTGAATCCTGGCCCCGCCCTTCAAGTTTCTTGCCCTGAATCAACTGAAACATTTCACTGTGGTTTGAGAACATCCTCTGTTCACTGGTCTGGGACCATTACGTGGCAGCACTCCTAGCCTGTGGGGTGGCAGGCTGCATCCTCTGGGCTGCTCAGTCACGGTACTGAGATTCCATGATTTGTTTCTCAACTCAGATCTCATCCCACTACCAGATCTGTGCTCCTGCACAGGCAACAAGATGAGTAAGTAAGATTGTCAGGGAACTTGAAATGTTTAGAGATGAGGCTAGTTCTTGCTTTCCTCTCCAGGTTTTGAGAAGGACCCTGAGTTAATCTTCAGACTTTTGGGAGAGGGGTTGCTGAAATATCAGAATTTGGCAGGGGCTCCTCCCGGACATCAACAGCTAAAAGGAAACTTGCAGAGCACTACCTGCACACCTCCACCCTGTTGCACCACCTGTCAGCAAGCAATTTTCCAAATTAATTTTAGGGACTGCCATAGATAACTAAATTCTCATTTTCCTCTGTAAGAACCTTAAAAATATCCTTCCCTTTCTGCTGGGGCACTTCTCTGTGCCTGGCATTCCTCATCTGTGAGATGCTGATGGAGGTATCTGTACCTCTGTAGGCAGCATAGAGTACATGAAAAAGGGGACACATACCATGCCTGTGTCACAGCCAGTGTTCCAGAGAGGGGAGCTATTTTTATACCATTTTAGCACTAGAGGAAACTTGAAAGGTCATCTTGCTGAGCTGTACTATGGGGGAACCAAAGCCCAGAGAGGGGAAGTGACACAGTGAGCTACTGTTGTTGTCATGGGGGGACGGAGGCCAACCCAGTCTGGGTCACCTGATTTTCAAGCCCTGCTGCTCTCACCGTTTCCCAGATACCTTGAAATGAAGCACAAACAAGACATTTAATTCATTTATTCAACACATATGTACCAAGTCCCTGCCATGTGCCTCGTGCTATGACAGGAGCTAGAAAGAAGGTGATGAGCAAATGCAAACAAGTGTTTGTGTCTCAGGAAGAACTGCACAGCAAGACACCGCGGGTTGGGCAGCTTCGGCAGAGACGTTTGTTTTCTCACAGCTCAGGAAGCTAGAAGTCCCAGGTCCAGGTCTGGCAGGGCCAGTTCCCCGGAGAGTTCCCTGGCTTGTGGATGGCATTTTCTCCCTGTGTCCTCACAGGGTTTTCCTTGGTATGTGTGTGGAGAGACAGCGAGCTGACTCACCGGTGTCTCTTCTCTTAAGAAGAGTGATCCTTTTGGGGTCAGAAGGGACCCACCCTTATGATGTCATTTAACCTTAATTACTTCCTTAGAGGCCCCATCTCGAAATACAGCCACACTGGGGAGTTAGGGTTCAATGTATGAATCTAGGGGGACACATTCAGTCCATGGCAACATGTCAGTCAGTTCACAGTCCAGTGGAGGAGGCGGACAATAAAGGAGGAGCAATCACAGATGGCGGTAAACGCCTTGAAGTGAGCATGGTGCAGCCATGGAGGATGACGGCGGTGGGAGGAAGAGCAGTTCAGGGCGCTTGGTCAGGGAAGGACGTTGAGGAGGGGGCGCTGGAGCCCGAACCGAAAGGAGGAGCCAGCTGGGGGAAACCGGGATGCGGGCCGGCGGAGAGTGGGCGGCGTGCCCAGGCCGTGCGGGTGAGGGGCGGGCGGCCCTGGAGAGGCAGGGAGTCTGAGCAGCCGCGAGAAGGCGGGGGCGGCAGTCCTGTGAGGGCAGGGGCAGAGGCGGGCCGCGCCAGACGCTCCGGGTGTCACCGGATGTGTGCTGGGAGGTCTCCGAAGAGCTCTGGAGAGATCTGTGTGGAGAGTGGGTGACAGAAGAGCAGGGAGAAGGCGGGAGGCCAGCGCGGAGGTGATCACCGCCCCAATGACAGTGACGGGGGCTTGGGCTGCTGAGGTGCTGGCGGGGATGGAGAGAAGGGTCGTCTGTGCGTGTGCGTGCATGTGTGCATGTGGGTGAGACAGAAGAGGTGGTGGTGACGGAGGTGTGTGTGTGTGTGTGTGTGTGTGTGTGTGAGAGAGAGAGAGAGAGAGAGACAGACAAGGTGCCAGTGGAGATGGAGAGAAGCATGAGTGTGAGAGAGGGATGAGGTGCTGATGGAGATGAAGTGTGCCTGTGTGTGTGTGTGTGTGTGTGTGAGAGAGAGACAGACAAGGTGCTGGTGGAGATGGAGAGAAGCATGTGTGTGTGCATGTGTATGTGTGTGTGTGAGACAGAAAGGCCTAGTCATTTACATCCTGACTCTTCATGAAATCATTCTATCAGGCCTGACCTCCAAAGGTCCACCAGACCTACTACAGCATCTGTAATATTAAAAACTGTCCCTCAGAACCCCTCCGTGTGTGGGCATGGGCTCTGGCCCGTTTCGAGGTCTTTGAACCTGTTGAGAGCTGGGCTTGAAGAGGGGGAGAAGTGAGTGGCTTCCGCAAGCGGCTCCTCCTGCAGCAGAGGGATGAGGGCACGGTGGGCCCTGCCTCACCTGCCACAGGTATGAACTCTGCATGTTTCATTCAACCGAGTTTTTGCTTTCAGCGGAAGCTAATCACGGTGATGATGTTGGTGATAATCATAATAATACAATGAGAGCTTCTATTTATTGGGAATTTCCTATGTGCCATATTGGGAAACATGATATGCTTGAACCAGTCATTGGAACTCTGATGATCTAGGGTTGAGTTACCCCTGGCGTGGGCGTCAGAGTCAACCTCAGAAGAACTGTGTAGATGGAGGGTGGCAAAAGTGGTTTTCCAAAGGAAAATTAGGGAATGATTACCAGAGGAAGTGGGGATGGATACTGGGCAGCAGAAACAGATATTCATCACATGGGAGAAATATAATCTGAAGATTAGGAGCTGTAATAAGAGGGGCAGCATGATAAGACACTCCACTGATCAAAGATGAGCATATCAAAGATAACAGTGACAGAGCCTTGGAAGTGAATTTGGTGATATTTATTAAAATTTTAAAAAGCACATTCCCTTTAACTCAGTGACTCAGTTTCCAGGAATCTATCCTATAGAGTTGCTTGCACAGCAAGCTCTACACCAGGGTCTTTACTACAGCGTTATCTGTACAAGCAAAAGATTGGAGACAACCTGCATGTACATCGAGGGGATAATGATTAAATAAATTATGGTGATTCTATTGAGAAAAACATTGCTGCAGCTGTTATAAAGATTCAATCACATCTGCATATATTGATGTGAAGTGGTGTTCAGGATATATCATTGTGAAATATGAAGTGCTCACAAGTATAATATGATCCCCTTTTTCTAAAAATAAGTGGGGAACCACAAACATCCACCCACACATGGAAAATACACACCCACACATATACACTGCTACAGTCTGAATGTTTGTATCCCTTCCAAATTCAAATGCTGAAGTCTTAATGCCCAATGTGATGACATTAGGAGGTGGGAACTTTGGTCATGAGGGTGGCGTCCTCACGAACAAGATCTATGCTTTTATAAACAAGGCTCGAAAGAGCTCCCTTGCCTCTTCTGGCATGTGAAGACACCGTAAGAAATCTGCGCCCAGAAGAGGGCCCTCAGCTGACCGTGCGGCTGACCATGCTGACCTTGGACTTCCAGCTTCCAAAACTGTTAGAAACAGACTGCTGTTGATTACAAGCTGCCCAGACTGTGGTATTTTGTTATAGCAGCATGAATGAACGAAGACACACATATTATATCGATGTGTATCTGTTCTTGCAAAAGATCTGGAAGGTCT